TTAATCTGGTATTTAAGTTTACGTTGAAATATTAATATATTTGAAAAATAATAGACACTTTTTGCTGTTTTAAAATTTTATTTCTTAAGTTTATATTAATCTTGCCAAACAACACAAACAGTTATTATTTTTTGTTGTTAGCATTAGTTGCCAGTGGCTTAATAGTTTGTCAGTTTTATTCTGGAAAACCACCAAAATATTGTAGAGGTATGTCAAAATAATATTTGTTTTTTAAAATTCCAAATTATTGTTAACAGATACCAGTAAAACTTACAGTAGCAGACAGTAATTATAAGCAAACAGAAGTTATTGTTATATACATAAATTTCCTAGCTAAGATAGGTACATATAACCATTTTCTTTATATACCGCTAGAAAAAACATACAATAATATTTTCGATGATGCTTAAATTTTACACAATATATTAGTGTAACCGGAACAGTTTAGTCGTTACTAAAGTACGATTATTAATTCCAGTCAGTAAAATGACAAGTGCAACTGTCACTGATACAAAAAAGGGTGACCCGCTACAATAGTGATGTTCGGCAATCAATAGACTTAGACATTTAGTCACGCTTTATTTTATTAGGTATCAAAACCTTTTTTTTATTTTTAATATTTAATACATATCGTATTAAATAATACGATTTTAGAAATATGGACCTTACCAACATATTAAAATTTCTCACTATAACATTATTACAAAAGCTGGGAAAAAATGTAAAAAGAGATTCAGAGAAATTAATACTAGAATTTTTATTTATATAAAGGCAAATTGATATTGAATAAAAAAATGTAATCTCGACTAACTTATAATTGTAAAAACTCGATTCTACCACATCACTATTTAATTGGGACTAAAAACCTGCAACACTGAAAATGTCATTTTTTTTAATAATCTTACTTTAGATGTAGTACCTACTTTTTTTAAATACGTAAACGAAACTTAATATATTGTACAAGTTTTACAAGTGTCCGAAAATTTTTTAGTATTGTAATTTTTTTTAAATACTCTAATATATTGTAACGCTATAACATTGCAAGATATCTCCAACTTCTTTACACAGTATAAAATGGAGTCGCCAGTCTGATCGCTTATATCTTTTAAATTACGCAACGGATTTGAATGCAGTTCAGCAATAGATAGAGTGATTCAAGAGGAAGGTTTAAATATATATTACTTGCCGAGAACCGAGAAATAAAAAAAAATATAACGGGTTGCTAGTTTTTTTTATAAAATAATCAAATTATATTGAATTGCACGTGGTATTTATAATACATACTCTCTTAATTCTTGTAACATGTTTGATATTACGATTTCGCGCACCCGCGCACTCCAGGTTAGGTAAGAGAGCTCATTGTTCTGTTTTTCATAACACTATTGTTGCGTTTTCCAATTTTTATCGATGTGCTGTTAATTAGGTGGATTTGCAACACTGAACGCCGATATGTGAGAATAATTATGTACATAGTTTATTCACTTGCCCATAAGAGTACATACAAGTTTTGTATACTACTTATTTGGGGCACAATGGATATTATACCTATTTATTATACGGCCTCGATGGTCTGGCGACTTAGCACACCGCCATATCGCCGATGGTCGCGGGTTCGATTCTTAGCACTAACACTTTTTGTATCGGTCTGGGCGTTTAGTACAATAAAATCTTTATATTTTAGATAGCTCTGTGCAAATAGTCCTGAGTTATTATTATTATTTATGAAAGTCCACCTTTGCTCACTCTGTATATGTTTAAGTTTAGAACTGTATTTAAAAGTGCAATAAAGAATATATATAAAGTCAACTGTGTAAATAACATATATTCATGACTATGTCCCATATGGGGCAGTCAGCGGCAGTGTCAACTGTCGCCGGCAAGTGAAGACCAACATGACTTCACTTGAATTCAACGGGTGACGAACCTATTCCTGTCTTTCGGATTACTAAAAAAATAGGTTTGTTATCGGTGTTTCCATTACCGGATAGTCAGTCAAAAAAAAAATATAAATGTACATGCAATTTTCGTGTCAGCCATATATGGACTGGCGTTCCTTTTGTACAATTGGCGTAAAAATTTTGGCGGCAAAAAGATTGCCGAACGGCTGTCAGTCACAGCAGTCTGTACTAACACTTTTAATAAATAAATAAATTAATATTAATTGCTCTGATGTGCTATCAAATTGTTTGCCATTCAAATAATAAAACAACAGTTCATAAGTTGTTTTTTTTAAATAAATAACTACTCCTCCTTGATACAAACACCCGATCACGTTTTCAATAAAACTCATTATCCAATTCAATTGATTGTTCGTGATTGTAGTATTCCACGATTGATGCACCCATTTATGAAATATACGTGGTGACATGTCATTCTGATCCAATCAACTCGAGCAGTGACGCCTCTATCAAATAAAATCTCATTGCATACCATAGAGTCCAATTTAGATGCTTAATACATTGTACACAACTACAGACTATAAAAATCAGCAGTAATAATTTTCCCGCGCATTTTTTATGTAATATTTTTTTTCTTTTTTGCGATTTGAAAAAGTAATGTCAAAATAATCTATTTTTATATATTTTTTTCTTTTTGGCTGGACCGAGGTTTTGCCTTGCCAATAACAAGTTGTGGATGCCTTTGGCAAAAACAAATTATAGGTAAGTCGTTTACAAATGAAATAATTATAGGTTACGAAATTTAGGATCATTATTATTAGGATTAGTGTTTATTAAAAGAAACAGTTAAGGAGTAGTATAGTTACCAAAGATTAATGATTTGTAATCTCTACAATACATAACAAACATTACACTATATTTCTAAACGCTTCACGCAAAAACAAAAACAAATTAGTTGTTGGAATTTGCAAAGAATGGCCATCACAAACATAATAATTGGGAAATGGTGCTAAAATATCAATAAATAAATAAATATCGGAATCAAGTTTATTATAATAATTTCGTAATGTTGTTCACGATTTAACTAACTTCCTAGTTACGAGATTGTGAAAGTATCGGTTCGAACATCACGCCACTGATTTTAAGGTTAATCTAAAAAATTGAATCTGCATTTATTAATAGGTATCTATTACATTCCGAGTTGCATCACTAGGTATATAACCAATTTTGTATGAATCTGTGATAACAATTTTTTTGTAGGGTACGAGTATTTGCGAGCAATTGTTGGTATAGATAAATTTTAACGGTTTTGTCCTCATGTGCAAGTATACCTCCTTTTAAACATTTTTTTTGCAGTTTCCACACGATAACAAAACATATATGGATGTAAGCAAACAATTGCTTGGAAGTAGATATGTTGTCCTAAAAACTATTTTTTTTAGCACAATATAAGTATTATATTGCTTATACAATTTTCTACAAAATGTTTAATTCTAGTGACTTATGTTTGCCAGAAAGGAAAGAACAATTAAACTAAAATATTTTGATCTGATCTTTTAATTAATAAAAGGATAATTATTATATATGTTTTATGCATTATTGCATGTGTACTACCAGTGTATTTACGTATACATATTTACAACCTATTACTCTATATGTAATGGCTTATAAGGGGTGTTATTTATAACACACTGTATGTATATCATACAGTATGTCCATTAGGGTTGTATTAAGTTACCATCGAGATTACTTGCTATGTAGTAAAAAGACTTTCGTTATACAAATATTTATATTTCTAAGTTTAGTTGTTTTACTTTTTTAATTGTTTTTTAGGTATGACCTATGTCGTTACAAAAAATATATTGCGAAGTATCTCTATGTCCTACTACAAGAGCTTACAATAGGTCTGATGTTTATATCTGTCTGGAAGTTTTCTATATATGTTATGTATGTATTTATATAAATATGTATATAGGTATTTGTATCAGTTGTCTAGTACCCATAACTCTGCTTAGCTTGGACTAGATGGCGCTGTGTGAGTCGACCTGAATTATTAAACAAAATATCGATGTTGGAGTTTTTAAAATGCAGGCGTCGTATAGATGTAAATATTCAGATTTGCCTTATATGCACCACAGATACGCGAAGTTCTCCGCCTTAGGCAGTTGTGAATCAATTGTTAAAGTGTTTCTTCCTGTGTAATATGTATTTATTCATCTGTATGTACGTCATCGTCTCCATCTAGTAATTGAGTAGAATATAAATAACTACGTAGTAAACTTAATTATTAAAATTCCTCAGGTGCTTGTATATATCTACATTTTTAATTTAATAAAGAGGTTAGGTCTGGCTCTATTATCGCGGAGCCGAAAATATAGTGTAATTTTTACGTTTTTTAATAGAAGCAATTTTGAAAACAATGTAGATAAATGAAGTGAAATTATTTAACAGGAGTTATTTGAAAATTATTCTCCTTAGGAATGAAAGATTATGAACTTATTTGTTTATAGCAATAACAAATAAGAAAATCGAAATAGACTTTTGAATAGTCATATATTGTTTTATTCTACCACTCATTCAGAACGCAGACTCATCGCAAGAAGAATGAGTTTACAACATTTAGTGAAAACTGTTAATTTGGACAACAGATTAATTTTATATATAAAATTCTCGTGTCACAATGTTAGTTACCATACTCCTCCTAAACGGCTTGATCGATTTTTATGAAATTTTATATGCATATTCAGTAGGTCTGAGAATCGGCTACTATCTACTTTTCATACCCCTAAGTGATAAGGGTTGTACCCCTAACATTATTTTTTTTATTTTTTGGGCAATTTTTTTTTTATTATTATATGTTATTAAAAAATACATACAACCCTAAATTTTCAACCTTCTAGCATCAACCTCTATTTTTTAATAGCGATTTTAATTTATAATGCCAAACCACGTTTGCCGGGACAGCAAATTTTTTTATATAAGACCAATAAATTTTTTTATATCAATAGGCGAATTTTTTACCGTTTAGATGGACAATTGGCTTATTCATTCCACTCGAATAAAAAAACTATTTACTAATAGCACATTATATTTCAATTACAGGAGTCGATGGCGGACTGGGACCGGGGTTTCACTGAATTGGACGCCCCGACGCAGGTAGCTGGAGCCCCAGGGCGCAAGTGGAGCGCCAGAAATGTGCAGGCTCAAAATACAGCCACCGACCAGTCTCCGCCTGTCACCAACAATACTGATGCTTGCAAACTACTCATTGTAGGTATTCACTGTATAATCTATGTATTTTCACGACACATCTTTTAGGGGGTGGACAAAAGACCAAGTGCCAACAGATTATGTCGTTATACACAACTTCTTCTAAAGTTGTTTTCCTCATTCGTGAGGGTGATAACAGCCCTGCCGAATTATTTTCTCTCTGATTACACCCCTCCATCTAGTATAGAATAAATTTAGTATTTTATAATATAAAGTTACTAGCTGCGCCCGCGACTTCGTCCGCGTAAAATGACAATACTTCCATAGAACCATTCATATTCCCTTTCAACCCCTTGAAACCCTTTTTTCACATTAAAAAGTAGCCTATGTCCTTTGTCTGGGTCTAGACTATCTCTGTACCAAATTTCATTTAAATCGGTTCAGTGGTTTAGGCGTGAAAGCGAGACAGACAGACAGACAGACAGAGTTACTTTCGCATTTATAATATAATGTAAGGATTAGTATTTACTAGTTTTAGTAAACCCCAAAAAAAAAGAAACTGTCTTGGTCTTTTACATGAAGGGCATTTTGGAAAGTCGAGTTTAGCAATGAGTAAATTTGGTCAGACTGTCTTATGGGTCTACGCCCTCTAGGACGTTTCCCACCCACTCTGCCAGTCACCATCAACAGCTCTAGATGTGACCAAAAAACTCTAGTATTCTACGCAGATATATGGCGGAGAGTCTAACTTAGATGTTGAGTTCCCGTAGAATATGTAAATATACAACTACCAAGATTAATTATATATCTACGATGTATATATGCAAGCGACAGTTACCATTTACTATCAGGTCTGTCAGCTTATTTGTTATTCTAATTACATAAAAACACTAAATTTGCTTCGTATAATTAAATTTGAAATCTTTTTACTTCTCCATAATATAAATACTATATTCTCGAAAATAAGAACAGATGCAGACAATCTATTTTGTGATTAATATCCTACTGCATATGATTGACTCATTGTATCTCTAGTTTCATAATAAACCGGGTTAATTGGTGTCAATCGTTAAATTAATTTTAGTACTTCTGCTTCATTTGGAGTGTTCTTATTGTTTCACAATCTACATATTCTATTTGTCTTCAAATATTGTAACTGAATTACATAATATACAAACTCAAAATCATTTGATGGCCTTGATAATCGAGTGGTTTAGCACGCCGCTTTATTCCCGATGGTCGCGGGTTCAATTCCTCGTACGGCACAAGAATTTGTACTCATGAGTATGATTGTTTGTATCGGTCTTGTTGTTTTCTATGTAATATTATGTATGTATTTACAAAAAAATGGAAATACATATGTACTTATATCAGTTGTCTAGTTCTCATAATACAAGCTCTGCTTATCTTGGGACTAGATGACGCTGTAGTAATTGTCCTGAGATATTATTATTAATTTGTCTTCATTACTAACAATTTTCTCTCCTTCGACCGTCCTAAAAGATTACCTTTAAATTAAATCTATCTTTAATAACTTACTAGGTACTAGTGTATTCATATAATAACATTTTCAATAATGTACTATAAACGTTTTTGCAGTATATCGGCGAAGCGAAAAATCCAATATGGCGCTTACCGCTTTGTGGCGGGAACGCGGCCGCCATTGCAGCTAGAGCAGGCGCCAAGCTATTGCCGCCGAAGATCAGGATTGTATGGAACCCGCCTACTTCTCCTTACCAGCACACGGAAAAATTACGACTGGTGGTTACAGCAGTTAATAGTGGTAAGTAATCACTTATATTATGAATGTACTCGTAAATGAGTTTGTTTTTGTTACCGCATGTGTTAATAGAGCTGATTGTCAGAATTGGCACTTTATTGTTTATTTGTTAGAATATGGTAGGCACAATAAGTTGGTAACTTTTTTTTATATTTCTTCAATCACTACATCAATGAATACACGTATTAATAGTATTATAATAAATAAAATATGTTTACTGCCATACAAATACCAAAATGTATGTAATGTAATGTATTTGCCTGCCTGTTTGTTACATTTTCACGTATAGCTGAAGGGATCTTAATGTTTAACATGGAGATAAATTATATCTCGAGGAAGGATATAGGCTATATTTTACGACAAAAACAGACATATTCGCGCTTTCAATGTTGGTGCTTAAATTATTATTAGGTACAGTCGTATCAAATATTACGAACTAAATTAAAAACTTACTTGAGCAAATTAAACTGTGTTTATTTAAATTTCCAGCAGTAACGCTAGTACATACATTATTGTTACTGTAGTATCATATATTATGAACTAAATTAAAAACTTACTTGAGCAAATTAAACTGTGTTTATTTAAATTTCCAGCAGTAACGCTAGTACATACATTATTGTTACTGTAGTATCATATATTATGATCTAAATTAAAAACTTACTTGAGCAAATTAAACTGTGTTTATTTAAATTTCCAGCAGTAACGCTAGTACATACATTATTGTTACTGTAGTATCATATATTACGAACTAAATTAAAAACTTATTGAGCAAATTAAACCGTGTTTATTTAAATTTCCAGCAGTAACGCTAGTACATACATTATTGTTACTGTAGTATCATATATTATGAACTAAATTAAAATCTTACATGAGCAAATTAAACCGTGTTTATTTAAATTTCCAGCAATAACGCTAGTACATACATTATTGTTACTGTAGTGTCATATATTATGAACTAAATTAAAAACTTACTTAAGCAAATTAAACTGTGTTTATTTAAATTTCCAGCAGTAACGCTAGTACATACATTATTGTTACTGTAGTATCATATATTATGAACTAAATTAAAAACTTACTTAAGCAAATTAAACTGTTTTTATTTAAATTTCCAGCAGTAACGCTAGTACATACATTATTGTTACTGTAGTATCATATATTATGAACTAAATTAAAAACTTACTTGAGCAAATTAAACTGTGTTTATTTAAATTTACAGCAGTAACGCTAGTACATACATTATTGTTACTGTAGTATCATATATTATGAACTAAATTAAAAACTTACTTAAGCAAATTAAACTGTGTTTATTTAAATTTCCAGCAGTAACGCTAGTACATACATTATTGTTACTGTAGTATCATATATTATGAACTAAATTAAAAACTTACTTGAGCAAATTAAACTGTGTTTATTTAAATTTACAGCAGTAACGCTAGTACATACATTATTGTTACTGTAGTATCATATATTATGAACTAAATTAAAAACTTACATGAGCAAATTAAACTGTGTTTATTTAAATTTCCAGCAGTAACGCTAGTACATACATTATTGTTACTGTAGTATCATATATTATGAACTAAATTAAAAACTTACATGAGCAAAGTAAACTGTGTTTATTTAAATTTCCAGCAGTAACGCTAGTACATACATTATTGTTACTGTAGTATCATATATTATGAACTAAATTAAAAACTTACTTAAGCAAATTAAACTGTTTTTATTTAAATTTCCAGCAGTAACGCTAGTACATACATTATTGTTACTGTAGTATCATATATTATGAACTAAATTAAAAACTTACATGAGCAAAGTAAACTGTGTTTATTTAAATTTCCAGCAGTAACGCTAGTACATATATTATTGTTACTGTAGTATCATATATTATGAACTAAATTAAAAACTCACTTGAGCAAATTAAACTGTGTTTATTTAAATTTCTAGCAGTAACGCTAGTACATACTTTATTGTTACTGTAGTATCATATATTATGATCTAAATTAAAAACTTACTTGAGCAAATTAAACTGTGTTTATTTAAATTTCCAGCAGTAACGCTAGTACATACATTATTGTTACTGTAGTATCATATATTACGAACTAAATTAAAAACTTATTGAGCAAATTAAACCGTGTTTATTTAAATTTCCAGCAGTAACGCTAGTACATACATTATTGTTACTGTAGTATCATATATTATGAACTAAATTAAAATCTTACATGAGCAAATTAAACCGTGTTTATTTAAATTTCCAGCAATAACGCTAGTACATACATTATTGTTACTGTAGTGTCATATATTATGAACTAAATTAAAAACTTACTTAAGCAAATTAAACTGTGTTTATTTAAATTTCCAGCAGTAACGCTAGTACATACATTATTGTTACTGTAGTATCATATATTATGAACTAAATTAAAAACTTACTTAAGCAAATTAAACTGTTTTTATTTAAATTTCCAGCAGTAACGCTAGTACATACATTATTGTTACTGTAGTATCATATATTATGAACTAAATTAAAAACTTACTTGAGCAAATTAAACTGTGTTTATTTAAATTTACAGCAGTAACGCTAGTACATACATTATTGTTACTGTAGTATCATATATTATGAACTAAATTAAAAACTTACTTAAGCAAATTAAACTGTGTTTATTTAAATTTCCAGCAGTAACGCTAGTACATACATTATTGTTACTGTAGTATCATATATTATGAACTAAATTAAAAACTTACTTAAGCAAATTAAACTGTGTTTATTTAAATTTACAGCAGTAACGCTAGTACATACATTATTGTTACTGTAGTATCATATATTATGAACTAAATTAAAAACTTACATGAGCAAATTAAACTGTGTTTATTTAAATTTCCAGCAGTAACGCTAGTACATACATTATTGTTACTGTAGTATCATATATTATGAACTAAATTAAAAACTTACATGAGCAAAGTAAACTGTGTTTATTTAAATTTCCAGCAGTAACGCTAGTACATACATTATTGTTACTGTAGTATCATATATTATGAACTAAATTAAAAACTTACTTAAGCAAATTAAACTGTTTTTATTTAAATTTCCAGCAGTAACGCTAGTACATACATTATTGTTACTGTAGTATCATATATTATGAACTAAATTAAAAACTTACATGAGCAAAGTAAACTGTGTTTATTTAAATTTCCAGCAGTAACGCTAGTACATATATTATTGTTACTGTAGTATCATATATTATGAACTAAATTAAAAACTCACTTGAGCAAATTAAACTGTGTTTATTTAAATTTCTAGCAGTAACGCTAGTACATACTTTATTGTTACTGTAGTATCATATATTATGAACTAAATTAAAAACTTACTTGAGCCAATTAAACCGTGTTTATTTTAAATTCTAGGGGCAATGTGCAATAACGAATCTCAGTTTGTATGCGGTGTGACCGGTCTTTGCATATCTTCGTATCTGGTCTGCGACGGTGTAAAGCATTGCCCTGGTGGGGAAGACGAGGACTCGAGCGCCTGCGCCCACCGCCGGGATCCCCCACTCCTCGAGTTGCTGCGAAGGTTCGCAGCCAGGAACCAGGAGCTGTTAGGCCTGGACCAACCAGATGGGCAGACGAAACCGTCAGTTATTAGTGAGTATATAGTCATTTTATTTATGGGCATTATTCTTTTGATAGCCTCAGTACACGGCCTTATACGATCGCGGTGGTCTAGCAGCTTAGCAAGCTGTGCTTTAATTCTGATGGTGGAGGGGTTCGTTCCTCGCAGGATATTCGATTTCTATTCATGATTGTATTAGTCTGGGTATATGTATGTATATTATGTGTATTGTACTATATGTATATTATGTGTATTGTATTATATTTGTATTAGATAATACCTACCCCTAACACAAGCTCTGATTAGCTTAGGATCCAGATTTATAGTTAATTTTAAACTTTCGTGTTTACTATACATTATTTAAATTATTAACCGGGTCTTAACACATCACTTGACATCGCTGTTACTCCAGTCAGCTCATGACCACGGCTAGTGCAACCTAGTCGAAACGTCGAGAGAGGTAAATACCTTTATTTGCCATAAAATTATTCGTATTAAGACCCGGTTAATAATTTAAATCCAGATTTATGCCAAATTTGCCGCTGCGCTGGTTTTCAATGACACCAGTATTAAAGAGATTGTTAAAGCAAAATAAGATCAACTTACTAAGATCTGTCTCTCTCTTTCTAGATTTAGGATTGGAGTATTTATCCAAATGCATACCTATGTGTATCTAAATAAGTTATATTTTTCAGTGAAAATCTCTGAAGGCGAGCAGAAGTCGAATGCGTTTATGGAGTTTGCGGCAGCGTTGAAACCATACGGCCCGTGGAGCTACCTCGTGGTTGGGATGCTGGTCTGCGCCACTATACTCATGTTCTGCTTGGCATGGGGTACGTAAATATATTTAAATTGTGAAATCTCCCTTATAAATGGCCGGTAACGCCCTTGCAATTCTCCTAGTGTTGTGGGTGCTCATGGGTGGCGGTAATCACTTACAATCAGGTGAGCCGGAAGCTAGTTTGTCGCCTATGCTATAAAAAAAAGATATTACCTTACCTTTACCTTTTAATATATAAAACTAAAACTTTTTTATAAGTAATATAGAAGTACATTTATTTATGTGTCTGGAATAAACAGGAACAAGCTGACGGCTCACCCGATTTAAAACGGTAACTATCGCCTATATATATGACCAGTACTTCAGATATCACGTTATCATGCGACACCCGTGATACCACTCATGTGTTACCAATCTACAGGATTAACATGTTGTGTCTCTTATCCAGACGTGTCACTGCATAATCGCACCGAAACACAACTTACAAAGCAAACTGCTAGGCAAAGTGTAAACTGCAATAGATGGGAATGGGACTGAGACAATTTTTTACAGAACCAAATCGATTTTATTCGAAGATTTATCTTATGTATAACAATGGCAGGTGTAAATTCTAATTGAAATACTTTAATACAAACTTTAAAGGGTCTGCTCAAGAGGGAACATCAAAATTGGTGTATCCTTCCATTTAACAATAATAATAATATGCCCATGCGTCTGTTATAGACGATTTATAGCGTGATGGTCCGTGAACAGCTTAATAATGCTTTGAAATACCATCCTGATCATCTGGATGAATGGCGGTCTTCCACAGTACGGCTTTCTAGAAACTTTTTGCCTCGCACAACCACAGTATGGAATCGCCTTGCAGCAATGGTATTTCCGAACCGATACGATATTGAAACCTTCAAGAAAAGAGCTTATTCCTTTTTGAAAGGCCGACAATGTACTTGCAATTCCCCTGCTATTGCGGGTGCTCATGGGCGGCGGTAATCACTTACCATCAGGTGAGCCGCATGCTCGTTTGTCCCCTGTGTTATAAAAAAAAACATTGTTATTACTATTATTCTATTTTGCAACCGACTAACAAAAAATTCAATTTCTGTTACAGAATGCTGTTGCAAACGCTCCAAGCCGTCAGACACTCCTATCAACATACCACCACAGTGCATCGACCTCTCGCCGACGGTGACAGTCACCGCTGCGTCCCAGCAGCTGTTCCCTCACTCCCTTCCCGCCTCCCCCCCAGCGTACGAAGCGCCCCCTTCATACTCCTCCTTATTCCCCCGAGCTTTCAAGTCTTCCCCCACACCGGTACCACACTGCTCCCACCAGGAGCCGCCCGATTGAATGAATGATCGAACGAATGATATTTAGTTAGGTAGTTACATTAAATAATTTCAAGTGGTGTAATGGTAAGAATAGGACTGAGGAACAAGACAAGTGACCGAGGCATCATAGTCACGCAGGCGAAAGAACAAGATGCCGAATGTTGCTGTCCCGTTCTATCTTCTCTGTACAGCAGCGATTTACACGTTATCGATAGATTCACTTACTATAGTTGCAACTTGTCTAAATACACTTAATATCTTCGAAGTTATCATATCTATGTATGTGTCTCTTATAATTATATGAAATTTGTAGTCCTGTTCTCATTGCGTTAGTACAGTTTTTCTACAATGAAATAACAAATGCATTGAAGTAGGTATACATTTATTTTCATTTATCAGTATCTATTTGCAGGTTCGATCTCATGAAATAAATGATTATGTTTTATCGTATCGATAGTATCGATAATATAAATTCACTTTTATCACTTACCAGTACATCACTTGTGCAATATTAAGTTTAATAAGAGAATGGTATTCATATTAGTCTATTATATTAATTCCTGGTTGAGAATACATAGTCGATTTCAATAATTGAGATTCAGAGTTCATTGCATGTTGAATGTTCATTCGAGTGACTAAAATAGCCTTTAGAAATAAGAACTGACCATATTATAACGGATGGAAAAGAGTAAATCGAGTTTAATTTAAAATAATTCTGTAGTATTAACTTTCATATGTACAAACATAATGTAACTTATATCTATTGATTCACTATTTATATATGTACATTTTGCATTTATTAATCACATTACTCAAAATATATACGTATAGGTTCCCTGATTAATAAAAATGAGAAACATTTTATAAACTTATCTCTTTGAACATTTGGTTTGGAAAGTCTTTTTTTTAAAACAAGAGATATATATCATGTTAGAAACACACTTTTAACTTATAAACTCTGTGTGTCTGTCTGTCTCGCTTTCGCGCCAAAACTACTGAACCGATTTAAATAAAATTTGGTACGTAGATAGTCTAGATCGTGAGAAAGAACATAGGCTACTTTTTAATGCCAAAAAAGAGTAAGGGGTTGAAAAGGAAGATGAAAGTTTGTATGGAAATATTGTCATTTTTAAAGCTAGAAGGTTGAAACTTATTTTTTAAGCTGTTGATTAAATATACATAAATATGACATTCAAAATTTGTGAAAATATTACCCTAAATAAAATAGGGGATGAAAGATAGAACGATGAAACTTTTTTCTTTGGCTTTTTTGGGTTATATTATTGAATATTTTTTCTTCATTCGCTCAAGGTCACTATAACATGCGGACGAAGTCGCGGGCACAGCTAGTATAGTATATATGACGTCTACTACAATGTAATATTAAGTAAATTTGTAGATTTTCATTATTAGGAATGAGGTTTTAATATATAATAATCTATGTAGTAATAGTTTACGTATGAATTTAGATATAGATGACGCTGTGTATTTCCTTTTGTTTTAATATATTTAATAAAGTTACTTGCTGTCTTTAACCGTTGTAATATGGTCATTGAATTACATGCCCGAGTAAGCAATTTGTAATCAGTACACAGACTTTTGGCGCAATCAAATCAATACAATAAAAAGAATTGTAAATTGTGACATACATCGTTATAATAAATAATATACAGTTACACCCAAAATGTTGGAATAACGACTTTATTTTTTTTAATTTAAAGACGATATTCCAAAGAAACTTTTATGAGTTAATGCACTTTATTATTAAGCATGCAATATCATTTTTAAAGCAAACAACACAATGCAATCACTTTCGTGTTTCAATTAATTACTCATAAGATGAAATGCATGTTCTGTTGGCCTCTATGTCATATAAAAACAGTTATTCCTTGAATAAGATAATAAATGTTTTTTTTTCTTCTGGCTCTGGCAACATAAATGACTTATTTTGCTATAAAATGAACCATAGACAATGAATTCTTAGTAAAGGCAAATATCTACTAATGAACATCTTTACTTTGATACAATATGATTACAATTCCATTGCGTCAATTGAACATGCACTTTTTCTTATTTGCATTTCAATGTAGCGTTGTGGAGCAATTCAGATTTATTTGAATTGAAGATTTAGTTAAATCTATTATTTTTGAGTACACACAGTCTATCCATATATAACTCTTGACTGAAATATTTAAGAACACCTGCGTATGTTTATTGGTATAACTGTGTTGCATGATATTAATATTGTGATAAAAAGTGGTTGAATTGAATGTGGATAGATTTTTTATAGTGTTAAGTGAGAAATATGTTGGGACCAAGTTTGTTCTTATTGTATAGGATTATTTGTTGAGGTCAAGTGCCTAATTCTAATACATAATTATACTAGTATGATGAAAGAATGGTGATCAACATACTGTTTTATATGGCTTGCATTTCATATAAAGTGAGAATGTGGAAAGTTTGAGAAGATAGATGTTTTATTAGAAAGAGTAAATACTCTATTTTTTATTTAAAAATAAAAATTACATATGAGAAGTAGGTTCTACTGGAATAGTCTGTTTAATTTTTAATGCAGTCTAAAAGATCACATTGCTGTCAAAGTTTTAAATACTGAAATGTAATTATTTTTATTCACCAAATAATGGATGTGACTTAGGTAATTCTGAACGCACAGAATAGTAATCAGTAGTTATCATACTGCATATTAAATTAATTAAATAAACGTAAGATAAGGAGTCCATAACATAAAAATATGATACTAAAGTTTCTCAGATCTTTGAAGAGTTAAAAATAATGTGAATAAAGATGTATGTTCGTGGTTATGTTATATGAATGAATCATTCAATTTGATAGACATTGAAAGCTAACTGTATGCTCTGTTACTCAATAATTACATACTGATATAAATAAGTAATAATTAATTGTACAACCATGATTGTTTTCGCATGTCATTGCGATAAATATTGTATACCTATTTAATAAGCTGCGTAAAATATATTGATTTTGTTAAGGTGCAATTATCCTCAATATTACAAAATGAGGTACCTAATATTACATATAAATGTTTGACTAGTCTTATATATCTAGGTTTTGTTTTGTTAATATTTTAACTATAATACTAATTTAGGTATATATAATTTGTGCAAAGAATAAAAACAAAGAAGAGAGGGCAGGGAGACTACATTATGTTGCAGAATTACACTAAATATATTATGTGTTTTCCGTTGTTTGGCAAAAATTGAATATGAAACATAGTCATTACGAAATTCGAATCCACATTGAATTCTAAAATTCTACGGCTGCAATTTCATCAACAATCTTGTTTTTTTCCAAGGCAAAAGGATCCAGCCATGGTATGAACAATCTATAAAATATTAAAAAATAAAAAAGACACAAAATAAACAATCTTGTATTAAATTCATACTGTCACAAGTCTGTTCAATTTTGCCAGCGAAATTTACGCGCGTAAAGAATATTCTTCATTCTTCTTTTTTTTTTTCGATAGGTAATCTTACAAAGCAGGTGTTTGGTTAATTCGTTTCATTAAGTAAAGTGGACACTATTACTAGAGCTAAGAAATGATTACCAATTTTTATTATAGTAAAAATATTAATGTCTACCTGCAAAGATAAATACATAATTTATTTTTACCTGCAAAGATAAATACATAATTTATTTTTACCTTAACTGAAAATTTTATGCATCACTATTCATTTTTATTTTTAATCAATTAGACACGATCGCCGCCTGTTGTTTAGGAGTTTGTCCCCAGGGACTAAACTTAATAAATATATATAAGAATACCACAGATAAGATAATATACTTCTCTAAACTAGATTATTATCCCATAATAAAAAACTTGTAAACAAAAGTGGTAACCAAATAATGAAATAAGAAAAGTTATATCAAAAAATAACTTTTCTTAATTCATTAAAAATATTTGGAATTTTATTAGAGAAATTTTAATTATCTTTCTCCATCACAAACTATAGAGAGAATAAGTAACTATACTATATGTTACGACTATTTTTTATAATTAATAAAAAAAACTATATATATACATAATCAGTAATCATATATATTTAATTAAGTTGAAAATTTGTCATAAATATTTTAATTACTAAAAGAGGCTCAATCTCTATAAAGTAAAAAATGATTACTTCTACGATATAGAGCTTTGACTGAAAAGAGACATATTGTTTTAAAGGGTTGTCTCTTTCTACACCTTAGAAATTTCGATCAATCCGTCAATCCACAAGTTGAAATGTCTTGACTGACAGCAAAATGGCAAAAACTGAAATAATTTTAATCAATGTTATTGTTTTGGCCGTCTGCTGTCAGTCTAATTTTTGCAATAAATAATTTTTAGTTAGTTTTAGAAATCAATCTCCCTGAATGAAAATAAACATTTGGTCATGAATAAAAAGTTATAGACTATCGATAGTATAAAATGACTGGCGACGATGGCAAAACAGCCATTTGTCGTGTGTGTCTAAAGACTGACGAAGTGAAAAATAAAAAGTTCATTTCGTTGTTTGAAAATTACAAAGATACCGTGATCTCTGAAAATATAAACTTGATAGCAAACGTGTCGATAAAACAAGGGGACGATTTGCCGGCAGAGATATGTCCGGATTGTTTGTTAGACTTGGAAACCGCCATAAATTTCAAATACAAATGTGAATCCTCCAACCGAATACTTCGAAACACAACATTCCCTAATCATACAGAGTTTCTCTCGTTGGAATATAACTTGAATCTTGTTAAGAAAGAAGAAAATGAACAATATGAAACTGAAAACGACTTTGATATTGATGTAAATGATTACTTGGAAACTAAAACTGAAGTGGAACAGCACAGTGATAATGTACTTGAGACAGCAGTACAGAATAGGCTAAGTAAACCTCAAGACCTCAAATTAATATGTAATGAATGTGGTGATTCCTTTAAAAGTAAATGCAAGATGCGTGTACATTGGAAAAAAGTGCATCTCCCGCAAACATTGATTTGTTCAATATGCAAAAGGGTTTTTAAAACATGTAAAGCATTTAACAAACATCAGAAGACTAGATGCAAAAGCTGTATATCAACAGTTAACATGAAAGTTGAGGGTATTGGTAGATCTAGAATATTCCATTGTAAGTCATGTAGTTATAGCACATCGAGAGTTAAAGATATGCAGTCACATGTAGTAGTACACAATGGGGAGCGCCCATACTCCTGCTCTATATGTGGTAAGACGTTCACACAGCATAGCGCAGTCCAGGCTCACAAAGAATCATCACACAAAGTGTATTCAATAGAGACATTTTGCGAGTACTGTGGCAAGTATTTGAAAGGTCGGGGTGCGGCTTATAAGCATATCAAACGTCACAAAGAGAATAGATATCAATGTGATATATGTAAAAAAATGTTGAAGAACAAAAACACTTTGAAGAGCCATTTAGTCAGACACACAGGTGTTAAATCATACACTTGTGAAAAATGTGCATATACCTTCTTCACTATAGGCGAATTGGGTAATCATAGACGGTCTGTCCATAATAAGGAGAAACATGCATTCAAATGCAATATTTGTGATTACAAGGCAAGCAGAAATGAAATTATAAAGCGACACAAAGCCAAACATACAGCTGTCAATATGGCATGCACAATCTGTGGTAAATTCTTTGTAGATGCACTGAAGTTGTCTATGCACCAGAAAATGCATTTAGTTGAGAAGAAATATCCATGTCCACATTGTGAGGCAAAGTACATGAAGAAAGACTATCTGAGACGGCATATACAGGCAAAGCATGCAGGTATGATGGCAACACCTAGGTGTCTGCCTGTAAAAGATGAGAGGTCATCATCCTCAATAGTTTGGGACAATGAAATTGAGATATCAGCATAATATCTACATAAGAGAAGTCAAAATTTTATTTGTTAAAAATATTTATTTATCATTGTTATCAACAAGTTTATCATTGTAACAAACAGTACTTTCTAAATTCTAATGAAAATTGATATAAAAAATGAAAGAATAGAATATTTTTGATGATTCTTTTTTAATTTAAAAGGCTGATTTTAATTTTGGATTAATTTTAATATTATATCTGTTTAGTGCCTAAAACTATCAAAGTTTGTTATACTAAATGAAGGTCCTTAGTACAATTTCAGCTTGTACAAAATGAGTTACCTAAAATATTTTCTTAACTCAATTTGATAAGAAATTATAAATGAAATACCATTGATAAGTTTGTGTTTATTTGAATAATTTTCTAGTAAGTTCCTGAGAGAAATGTTACAACATTACAAGGCTGAAAATAATATGTAATATTTGAACTAAGGATTGTGTATTGAGGCAAATTTAAATATTAATAAAATAAATAAATATTTTGTCTAAATACACATATATTATACAATTACATATCAAGCATTCAGATCAAAACAAACAGTCAGAGTTATGAATACAAATGTTTGTATGGTGTGGGAAAATCCGCGGCTCTCGAAAGGGTGGCGGTATAAACCGTTAGACAACCAAATATGGCTATAAAATTGAACCCCATAACAATGATTGTTAGAGAAGCTTTTTGATTTATCAAAATTAATATTATTTTGAAACATCAATCTATTTTTCTTGTAATATTTCCTTGGTAAACTAATTATTACTTATTTTTCGCTTCATAAATTTCGTATATAGAAGTGCTATTATGTCCAATTTTTATGGTTATATAATTGTTAATGGTATATTTTCTATCATAATACTTATGTACCTACTATCTAAAGTATAATATCTATGTGCCATAAATACATAAAAACCCTTTTCAGATGAAACTCCACGTTACTATAATACGGCAATTTTGTAAATTTGAATCTAAGATTCGATCCCTCTTCCAAAACCAAAAATGTTACCAAGTTTTTATTTTTCATTATGATTAGGCACAGTACGAAAATTGATGAGGTATTCCAAATTTAAATTACTATATTTTGCAGAATATAATTTAATTTTAATCTGTAATTATTAAAGTTTAAAGTAGCAGTGATAAATCGACAAAGTCGGTTCAATTTCACCCTTATTGTTCCGTGCTAAAAAGAAATGGAAAATTTACTATTATAAAATAATGTAAAATACAAAGTACTATTATCTAGCAATAATGTACTCACTTTAGTTTCCAATATTACGCAATATTGTAAAATAAACTAGTCATAAGTTATCATTTCAGGCAGATTATTATATAGTGGTATAAGAAAATAAATAATTAAGCGACTGACATTACTTTTATTTGCCTTTCTAAATATATTGCATCGTCGTTATTATTATTATAATCACTGGCTTTAATTCCTCAGGTTTTGTTGTCGGATTCTTATGACATTTTGGAGTTGAATCTTTGAATCCCATCCCTGCTCTGTTTTCGTTTGAGAGCATTTATTGGTAAAAAAATGCATTAGAGCAATTTGCCGAATTCTTGGCAATTCTTATAAACAAAAATTCTTTTTTTAGGAATTATAATGGAATAATGCACCCTTCTACGCTAACGGTTTACGCTGGAGGGGCATTAGTGGAGGTTGGTAAAATGAACATGAAGTCAGGTCAGTTAGCCCATCTTGGCAAATGGCAACATTCTAAAATAAAATAAATAAAAAAGCTGTTTATGAAAGTATGCGCATAAGTCTATATAACAAAATTTATAATGAAATGAAACCAGTGAAATGAAATTTATTTAAAATATACAACTATGGTTTAATTAGATAAAGTGTTACAACATAAAAGATTTTTAAATATTAAAAATATGTATGTTTTATTTATTATTAGACAACCTAGGTGGTTTAGCGGTTTAGCGAACCGCTTTACTTCCGATAGTTGCGGATTCGATTTCTCGCACGGTGCAGACATTTGTATTCATGAGTATGATTATTTGTATCGGTCTGGGTGTTTTCTGTGTATTTTATGTATGTATTTACAAAAAATATAAATCAAGCATTTATAGCAATTGTCTAGTATCCATAACACAAGCCCTGCGTACTGACTAAATGGCGCTGTGTTAATTGTCCAGGGTTATTTATGATTATTTATATTAGAAATAAACATTAATATAAAATTATATACCTAATTATTTGTAAAGCATGTTAGACAAACTAACAAAATATGGGCGTATATTGTACTAGGAGACCTTTTGTAACTTACCATGTTTATAACAAAATAAATATAAAATAATAAAGATTATTGATATGACAGTTACAAACTCTGACAGTGAGACTCTGTAACGGACACTGCACTGTCTCTGAAAAAGACTTCCAGGATGAAGTATGTTCACGTGGAAAGAAAGAGACGAAACAACTTGTGAGCAAGATATTTTTTGCGGAAAAACAGTTTATCTTATTTAAAATAAAAACTATTGGCTATTATATACATATACATCTGAATGACACTATTTATGTGTGTATTTAGTATAATGTATATTGGAAAATTCGAGTCTTAAATCAGTCCCGTTTTCTTATACAAATTCAAAATATATTTTATAAGACCAATCTTTGAGATTTTTTTCTCTGCTACCAAAGTTCATGAATCATGTAACGAGAATTGTAAATATGATGTCAAAGATCTGAAAAATGAAATACCTAAATATCAACCCCGAAGGAATTATTGTTGCTGAGAAAAATTAAGGTTCTGAGGTCAATATTTGCGATGCGTCGTCGCCTTAACATTCCACGGATTCACCGTCCGGAAGCTGGATCTATCGTGTGACAGAGCGAGAACCTCCGAGCGGTTCCCGGGCTTGTAACCCGGGTGTAGGTTTAAGGGGCCGCGTATATCAACAGTAGTTAACACTGACCTTTACTGCTTGTGTTACTCGCCTGCCTCTAGTAAAATCATTTTAAGTCTCGTACATAGTTATAGAAAAGTAACTGATCCGACAAACGTTGTTTTGTTATATAAAGTAATGTCTCTATTGGTATGTAGGGTGAAAATTTAGGGTGTAGGTATCTATGGTTGATGCCACGTTGTAAATAAATAAAAAAGATAAATTGTGGACTACGTTGCTCTTTTTTCGATTAAATACTTACATATACATATTCAGAAAATCAGCGCATACAGTGACATGCTGCGGCACAAGCTGAGTGGAGGCCCGTTCATCATAGAGCGATGTTAGCTTTTGAGTTCTATATTTTGCACTCTGTATTTATCTTCTGCTGAATAAATATATTATTATTCGACTCGAGTTTTTAGTGATATTATTGTTTTACCTATATGCTGCATAATGTACATCCCCCAGCCCCACAAGTTTGTATCGGTTCATATGACCATTTCACTATTATAATATTGACTAGCTACTCGTCTCGGCTTCGCACGTGAAAATTATCCGCTAATTAATATATATATATAATTAAAAAATTAACCGCTTCAAAATCCGTTGCGTAGTTTTAAAGATTTAAGCATACATAGGGAGGGACGGACCGACAGCGACTTTATTTTATACCATGTAATGATATTCATATCAAAAGTTTTAAAATAGGTAAATAAGAAATTTACACAGAATATACATAAAACAGTAGTAATGACTTTTACGTAGCCACTTCCATTTTGCGACTTTATCAATATTTTTATTATTTCCCAGACCGGTTTCCCGCGGCAGCACTGCACACTGTTGCTTGTGTCATAGACTATGCAGTGTCTGTACGGAGCGAAGGTTCCTCATACTGGATTTTAAAGCCTACAAGAAAATTTATTTTTATTCTTTCATTTGTTGCTTTTGTAAAATATACCTAATCTGATAGATAATTAAACTAAAACTTTAGAACAGGAAATATTTGATTATTCGCATATAATACTGAAAAAATTTATTAGTAGTAGGTATAGTACAGGTTTTAAGTAAATTTTTTTGTAAAAGCTTTAAAATCGGGAAATATTATGGGTTGTGATTGTATAATAACATGAAAAAAATTAGAGATACCGTTATTAATTGCTGACGTGTGAAGACGAGGCAGATCGCTAGTATTATATGTGTATCAAAGGTATTCAAATGAATCAACTTAACTATTTAAGATCTTTTTACGTTTCAAGTACATCCATTTTGAGATTCAGTACATTTAAGGATGTAGGTATGTATAGAGGGGTCAATCTTTAAGTCATGAACTATACATGTAAAAACATGCGATGAGTTTGTACGAAATGTCTACTTGATTTTGTCATACTTATTTCTAATCTTAAAAGTAATCGTGTTCACAATACAATTTTTTTGTGCCGTAATTATCGTGTTGTCTTGTATGTTTGTAAATTGTTTTGTTTAACAAGCTATATTGCGTTAGTGCTCAAGCTTACTCTATGTCAATACGTATTACGTGTGGTATACTTGAGTGTGTCCTGAGAGTCTAACTTTACAAGTATAGAAATAAACATCGGTATCTTAGATCATACTTGAAGCACGATTATATACAAAGCCTTAAGTTGATATACTAACAATTTTGAAGTTAAACATCCTCTTTATCACTTTATAACATACACGAGTAGGCTCATTATTAGATTTTACCTGTGTTTTCACCTGTACGACATCACTACATCTGTAATCTTTGACCGAGCGGCGCCGTTCGCTAGACTCGCAAGCTAACCGCCATTTTTGCTCCAGTCCAGTTATACTCGCGATACTTGTTGTACGTGTCAAGATGGCCGATACGACCGAAACTATCGTGCTTAAAAACAATAAGGACCCATTAAAAAGTCACTACTTTTAATTGAAGCGTTCGTTAAATAGTGTAATCTATATGTATTGGATTATCGCATGGGAATATTAGCAAGTTGTTCGATAAAAAGTGTTTTCAACATCGACTAAAAGTTTTGGTTCTGATTTTAGTGTTATAATTTGTGTATTTTCGTTGTTTTTCGCAACCAATTGGATTCTGATCGGAGATATTGGTCTGGTTTTTTAGAGATACCGCAGTTGGAGGTAGTCCAAGCTATATGAGGTATGTTTTTTAATTAAAATCTTACACTTGACAACTTTTGTAACGGTAAATCGGTTTGTGATCGCCAAGTTTCGATGATTCAATGAATATAAAATTAATAGGTACATAATAGCTTGAAAGATAGGTAGGTATACATAGAAAAAAGCCTAGCCGTGCCCCTTATATTTCAAATTAATAAATTTTGTCTTTTGATTTGATTATGGACTTTATTGAATATTAAACTTCTTAAAAGTGTTTATATTAAGTTTATGTGAATACAGATTATTTCTATTCTCAAAAATTATATTTATGCTGAATTGAGTAACTAATGAATGGGTTACAGAAATTTATATATTTAAGTTAGGTAGGTACCTAGTTACAAACCTTATTTATATAGGTACCAAGATATGTATTACGAAACCAAGAAGCGAATTAAAGATCTTTTAAAAAACTATTTAGATATTTCAGTGTAGTAAATTTCTATATCAGTAAGTATTAAAATTATTTTTTTTATGTATGTAAGAAATAAGTTTTTATATCTACCGTCATAAGTCCAGCTTTTGTATACTATTTAAAATTTGCTGAACTCAGAATATCGAGTCCAGTATATTAGATTCGTGTGATAAGCGTGACTCTAAACTTCTGTAAGGAGTCTAGAGGTATAGGGATTGTCAGATAATTGGAGTGCCTTCTGCGCTCGCCCCCTATCGTTCGCTGAAGGTGTAAAGTCCAGATGCAGCCAACAGCATTAGAAGAAAACAGCCTGAAATATGTTGCTATATTATATATTGACGACCTCGGTGGTCTAGCGGTCTAGCACACCGCTGTACGACCGATGGTCGCGGATTCGATTCACACGCGGATTCGGTCACAAACGGATAGACAAACACACTTTGCATTTATAATATTATCTGTAATGAAGTACTACTTGAGTATTACTTGACGACATCCGTGGTCTAGCGGTCTAGCACACCGCTTTACGACCGATGGTCGCGGATTCGATTCCTCGCACGGCACAAATATTTATATTCATGAATATGATTGCTTGTATCGGTCTGGGTGTTTTCTATGTATAATATGTATGTGTATGTATATGTAGATTAAAAAAAAATGTTATGACTATTCAAAAGTGCTTCAATGTAAGTTTATTTGAATAAATGATTTTCTATTCTATTCTATTCTATTCTATTCTATTCTATGTATTTACAAAAAAAATCAGTTGTCTAGTACCCATAACACAAGCTTTAGGTAGCTTAACTTGGGTCTATATGGCTCTGTGTGAATTGTCCTGATATTATTATTATTATTCTATATTATATGTAGTTTACCTTAAAACTATATATTACATATATTAAGATGTTTTATGTATCAACCAGTGTTTTGTTTAGAACCAGTTTCTTGGATAGAACTTATAAATTATTTGTCAATGTAGGGTGGAATGTTGCTGGCAGCTTGTCTACCATTATTTTTATAAATATTGTATTAGTTTGATACCTATACTTTTTTGTCACTTTTGACTTCTTTGTTAGATCTCTTGAGTACTATGGAAACAAAGAAAAACATTTATTGACAACTCTTGCCTTGACATATTCATATAACATAACTACACATGATACCTATAAACTATTTTTTTTTTATCTCAGGACAATTCACACAGCGCCATCTAGACCCACGTTAAGCTACCTAAAGCTTGTGTTATGGGTACTAGATAACTGATACAAGTACATAGATATTTTTTTTTTCGTAAATACATACATATTATACATAGAAAACACCCAGACCGATACAAACAATCATACTCATGAATACAACTGTTTGTGCCGTGCGAGGAATCGAACCCGCGACCATCGGACGTAAAGCGGTGTGCTAGACCGCTATACCACCGAGGGCGTCAATACACACATACACATATAATACAATTATTACTGATTTTTGATAAATAGTTGTCATTCCACAACAGTCGTATGAAAATAGTTATCTTATATTGAGAAAGGCGTTAATTTCGCCTAAAGAAATGATTCTCTAGAACAAATAAATTAGTAGGTATATATATAACTATAACAGTAATTAATTTCCATTAAAAACGTTGAAATGTCATGAAGAAATCAATACATTTTTGCACAAAGATAAAAAGTTCTTGTAATAATAAATAACAATTCCAACTAACTTGTTTCCATACAAGAAAAAAAGTATTAAGTATTCTATGTATTTTGTATTTTATTCTCAGAGACTGAGAGTGTATTTTATTTTGTATTAAGCTATTTTATCATCGTCTTAATTAATATGTAAAATCTTAATTAAAGACCACATATGTATTTGGTTATATACAAAACTTTCTTGTCTTGGATCAAGGATCGTCAAGGATAGATCGAGAATTTTTCCTCATGCTCATCCTATCATACTCCACTGTCAGCGTAGATCGTTGGCGCAGGCGGGTGAAACATACCAATATCATCCATTAAAAAAAATATAAAAAGCGAACGTTTATCAGTATGGATGGATGGACGGTTATTAGTCTTTCACTCAAAAACTGCCGAAGGGATTTTGATGAAAGTTGACAGTAATATACCTTAAACAAATAGCTATAAATGTGAAACCGCGGTCACAACTAGTCGTTTATATAATCTAATCTATACATATACATAAAATTGGAGTGTCTGTTTGTAATATTGAAATAACCATTTTTTACTACATGCATAAATTCGGTACATACACCATCTGTTTGTTTCGGCTAATCTCTAAAATGGCTGGACCGATTTTGATAAGACTTTTTTTGGTATGTAGCTGATGTAATAAGAAGTAACTTAGGCTATTTTTATTTTAGAAAAATAAAGTTAGATTCCACGCGGATGCTGTCGCGGGAACAGCTAGTTTGTAATAATTAAAGTATTCAATAACGGTCAACTGACATTAAAATTAGGTACAAATATATAATGGAATTTGTAAACGTTCTCTACCAATTATAATAGAAAATCCTTTATTAATTGTAACTGTTGGTATAACAAATATTTTAAGTACTTTAACGTTTAAATCTATTGTATAGATTTGTTTAACATTTATAATTGAAACGGCGAATATTAAACTTGAGGTAAATATTACTACATTTCTGTATTCTAGGCTCTTAGCTTTATTTGACTTGGATATATACAGTGCTAAATTTTTTTTTGTCGAGCTACTCTAATGCTGTTGGCCGCAGCTGGCCTTTACAGCTTCACCGTACGATAGGGGGCGAGTGCAAATGACACTCCAAACCCGCGGAAGGACTTATGGAGCGAATATTTTGTTTTGAAGATGTAGTGTAGTGCTAGGTAGCAATAATTGAATATAATATAAAATGTCGCTTCATTAGGATTGCTCAACGATAAATAGTATCTTCTTATATATAATATAAAATTGTCGTGTCACAATGTCAGTTACCATATTCTTCCGGAACGACCTGACCGATTTTCATTAAAATTATGTGAAAAAAAAATGTTAAGAGTTACATTTTTTTTTACAACCCTTAAATTTTTTTTTATTTGCCTTAAAAATACATACAACCCTAAATTTTCACCCTTCTATTACCAACCCCTATTTTAAATAGCGATTTTAATTTATATAGCGAAATAACGTTTGCGGAGTCAACTAGTATCTATTATATTATATATACAATTGTATTTGCAAAAAATGAACAGAAAGTCCTTCCCTCGAGCTTCCATATCCTGTAATTTTACGACCATATTTCATCCACAGCCTTTAATTAGGAATACAGTTTGAAAAGCAAGTTTTTATTTAAGGAATTTAGTGATGAAAAGGTCATAAATGAATAGGCACTTCGCTGGGGGAAAGGGGATTGTTAGTGATCTGGATTGATAACCCTATCTATACGTATAATTAGTAAAAATCACGGGATCTTACCACGTTTTATATTTATTTTCTAGTCTTTTCGTAGTCGCGGTTCCCCCTGGAAACCGTCGTGTTAAATTCCTGGTAAATTTGCACGATAGGCTAACTGACCTGACCTCATGCTCATCTTATCATCCTCCATTGGTGCCCCGCCAGCGTAAACTGTTAGCGCAGGCAGGTGCACCATTCCATTATCAACCCTCAAAAAAAATACACTTCGCATTTATAATATCAGTAATGAAGTACTACTTGAGTATTACTTGCCGTGCGAGGAATCGAACCCGCGACCATCGGTCGTAAAGCGGTGTGCTAGACTGCTAGACCACGGTGGTCTAGCAGTCTAGCACACCGCTTTACGACCGATGGTCGCGGGTTCGATTCCTCGCACGGCACAAACATTTGTATTCACGAGTATGATTGTTTGTATCGGTCTGGGTGTTTTTTATGTATAATATGTATGTATTTACAAAAAAAAACTATGTATGTCTAGTACCCATAACACAAGCTTTAGATAGCTTTACTTGGGTCTAGGTGGCGACGTGTGAATTGTCCTGAGATTATTATTATTATTACATATATGTATATATGCTTATATGATGATTGCAAATATCGATTAATTAAGCCGTTATGCTAAGAGGTGACAAACAACCTCGCTTTCACGTTAATATTATTACTAAAGATAAGGATTGTTGGGTGGTATCAGGGTTGCCAACCTTAAAACACTATGGGAAAGGATAACGCCAGGATGACCTCTACGCGGTTACTCTCTGAAAACATTATTTGTCACGATGGGCTAAATGATCTGACCTCATGTTCATCTTATCATCCCTCACTGGTGCCCCGCCAGACTATACCGTCAGCGCAGACGGATGCACTATTCCATTATCATCCATAAGTAAAAACCTTAAACTACTTAGACTTGTACGAAGCAATATTTTTTTTAACAAAAACCTCATCATAGTATGTTGACTGATTCTCGTACACAATATTTCGTAAATTTGTTTTATGAAGATGAAAATTACGTTGTACCAAAAGTCAAAAGTCTCGTATTTAAATAATAAATAAAACTTCGTACAGTTGGCATCCCTGAATGGCATTAAAATTTATAATATCTTAAGTCACAATATTTCCACGTT